TAATTTGTAGAAAAGGATAACTTGGACTGAATATGAAGAAGAGTCTAGGTTGATCAATAAGGCATTGTGGAATGACCTTTATGGCCGACGGTGAGCCACAGGGCTGCCCTTTTTCTGCTGGGCTTCTTACCTTGTGCTCCACACCTGGTGTTCCAAAGATAATAGATTTCAGATACTGTGAGGGAAAATAGGCCATTTCTCAGAGTGATGAAGGGGGGAAAAAGCATGGGGGAAGTCAGGGGGAGGCACAGACAGAAGTCTGAGTAGGTATGAGGAAGCAGCACCAGAGGGTGTGGGACAAAGTAAAAAGTTTGTAGCGGGCCAGAAACATGAGGCAGCTGAGACACGAGAAAGTGAAAAAGTGATGGAGGACAGAAGTGGGGGCAGGCAGACCTGGGAACCTCTAGTTTCAAGCAAACATTGTGCTTCTCTGCATGAAGATGGTGCCAGACCTCATGATGGTTTTTCTCAGCCCTCTTGTTTCTTACTTGTTTGCAAAGAAGTGCAATAAAGCATTCATTTTCTTATCTGCAAACAAAACCTGTTCCATCGTCTGCTGAATGCCAATGGAAAATATTTGTTCGTGCTGCCAGCACAATTCACTGTATCAAATCTGATTGTCAATAAGATGACTTTCACAGTACATGTAACAAACTTCCACCAACTTGTTGGCAAATCCGTTTATTGAGAATGTAGTGGTGGTGAAGTACAACACAGCAGAAAGGGGGCAGTCCAGGAGGTTTCTAGAATGTATGGGTGACAAGTTCCTGCTGCAGCTGGTCAGTGAGCCTACCAGGGGTAGCGCCCTGCTAGACCTACTGCTTACGAACAGGGAAGGGCTGGTGGAAAATGTGGTGGTCAGAGGTCACCTTGGCCACAGTGACCATATGATAGAATTTTCAATGTGTGTTGAAGTTAGGAGGGTCATCAGCAAAAACCTCTACCTTGGACTTCCGGAGGGCTGACTTTCGACTATTCAGAACGCTAGTTCGAAGAATCTCTTGGGAATCAGCCCTTAAAAGCAAAGGGGCCCAGAAAGGCTGAGCTTACTGTAAGAATGAAATTATGAAGGCACAGGAGCTAGCCATCCCTGTGCGCCATAAAATGAGCCATCGGGGAAGAAGGCTGATGTGGCTGAGCAGGGAGCTTTCACAAGAACTCATGGGAATAAAGTGTATCAGCTCTGGAAAAACGGGCAGGTGAATCAGGAAGCGTTTAAGGATATTGTAAGGTCATGCAAAAAGAGAGAGAAGCGAAAGCTCAGTTAGAACTTAATTTGGCCATCTCTGTAAAGTATAACAAAAAGTGCTTTTATAAATACATTAATAACAAAAGGAGGGTCAGGGAAAATCTCCGTTCCTTATTGGATGAGGGGGGGGACGTTGTAACAGAAGTTATGTGCTGAACAGAAGCTATATGACCATTTGTGTTTCAAGTACAGAAACAGCTGTCATTAGCTACTGTATTCCGTGGAAATAATAATAATCTACATCACCACGCAGTGAAACTTGCGCCCAAGTACATCACATCCATGATTCATTACGTCCATGTGTTCTGTGTGAAAATTCTATTGAAAACCTAATTCTGATATGTTTTAAAATGTTTTGTTTTTTTTTTCAAGTACCCATTCATGGTTTTATAGAAGCTGTGCAGAATCCACCTACTTCTAATGCAGTCTTTTGCTCAGAAGCATAAAAAAACACTTCTAGCAATTTCTAAAGGTTTCACACTCTGGAATGAAAAAGTGCTTCTCTTGAAAAGTACCTAGAAATTATGACTGGACTATATAGGACTAGAACATTTTTTATTATGATTATCTATGATAAAGTTATTTTTATGTGTAAACTGTAGTTTAACATCACAAAAAATCTTCAGAGATTACAGAGCAAAACTTCCCATTTATTTTTTTTTGCAGTTCCCCAGTCTACTGAAAACTGCATTAACATACATTTAGCTTTTACAAATAAATCAACACAGTTCTGAATGCCCAAGATGTTGCAATATTTAAATTTACAATGTATGTTTTAATTATTCAATACAAGTAAAGGGCCACTGTCAAACTCTTATGACTAAAACTTGATAATTCTTAACAAAAATAGTAAGACAGTTCTTTATACTTAAGATGTATCGTTTGCCTAGTAGTGAATTCCTTATAATACAAAAATAATTTCAAGACCCTCAAAAAACTATTTTCACCTAGATTATAGCAGCAGTTTACTAACACAGCCCATTTTGGGCTATGTTCACATAAAGTTCACTTCTGAGCTATGAAATTATCCCCTAGATTTCGGTCAAGGAAGAAAAACCCAGGCAATTGGTTTTGTCTACGTGTACTTGATGAACTTAAGCACTGCTTAACACGCCATTCTGACCATGATCTGGACATTTAAGGATCTCGTGGGTGATACTGAGTTAAACACACATGATGGAGGATATCTTTCCTTTTGAATTAGCATGCCTGTGAGCCTTCTCTTAGGAGCTCAGGTTTTACAGTACAGTAGAATCTGGCTACAGGGCTGCTGATACTGGATCAAATAAACACACTAAGGGTGGTGTGAGACAAAATGCTAAGTCCATGTGATCTCACTCTTCTAATGAACACCTGCAAAATTTTAGCAACTGGCGTACATATTGGCAGGCTTTCTGATAGACGAGGTCTCTCTGTCTGCGTTGTTGCACAGGGTTATCACCAGTGCTCCTGCAGCCCTCACAAAAGCACAGAGCAGGATTATGACTGGTATGATGCCACAGATGGAAAATTTGAAGGAATCCATTTACTGTCAGTTAACCTGTGACACCATGGATTCATCTGGATAACGGGCACACACTTCACTGCTATGTATTTCTTCAGCCATTCTGACTTTCCTGATTGCCACCTCACTCACTGTGAAAAGGCTTGGCTACCAAGAACAGTGTCTGGACCACTACATAAATCGTGGCATGCGTCGGCAGCCTACAACAGAACACCACACTGTGGAGTTTGTTCTGGACCTCTTCACTAAATGTGGGGTTTTTTTGCTTCCCAAACCAACCTTTTCTATTTCTTCCTTCGGCTAAAGTGAGGCCAAGATAAAAAGCTCATGGCTTCGTTTATGGCAGAAGTCTACCTGCTGATCAAACGCTCCTCAGGTAAATACACTGATGTACTTGGATTCCTCTAAAGAAGAGCCTGAGATCTGAGTGACAACAGGTCTTGCAAGTGCTGCACGGCTGCACCTGTCCTGCCCACTCACAGTTTTACTTCAGCGTGGAAACAGGCACTGCTCACAAGAATGAGGCACGTCACGACCTATCAGTACATATCCCCATGGAGAGTATATTCAGACAGTAAAGGCAGGAGGGCAGTGATCTGTGAAAGAAGAGCATTACGTAAGATATTCTCTTTCATAATCTTTAGAAAGAGATGCTTTTTATTTTGCAACTGTTTTGGTTTTTTTTCACCACCTATTAAGAAGGCTGTCAACGTCCACTCCCTCATGCCTTAAAGCCCAGGCTTTGGGATCCCTTTCTGTTGGGCAGGATGAACGGTGGTGAAAAAGCTTCCCCATAAAGCAAAAGCCTAACTAATAAGGTTAAACACCACTAAAATTTGGGAAAAACATTGGCACTGTTTTTTTTTTAGGAAAGTATGTATGTCTATATACAAAAATAATATCAGACAATGTCCTAAAAAAAGTTAAATATATATATATAGACTGCTAGAATAATTACACAAACTCTGCCCACATCAACAGCTTTTTAAATATCAGACATTCAATTTTCATAAGCAAGTTACAATGTCATTTAGCATTTCTCAATGTATTCAGGTGCGGTTTTTTTGCAACAGACTCAAATGCAGTGCATTTTACTTTTCACAAAAAGCCACATGCACCGAACATTTCACAAGCAAAGAGTAAATGGTTCAAGTTCCATTCAGTTTGGGGTAACAAGTATACCAGCTGTTCAAACCAGTACCTGCAGTAGGGCAAGTTAATGTTAAAATCTCCATCCTTCCCTAGCACAGAACATTAACAAGCAAGTTACAATCTGGTAATATAAAATTACTCTTAAACAAAACCTTTAAGGTTGTCACAGTCCAGTTCTCTCAAATGTACAGAACAACTTTTTAAATAGATGGTTTTTTTTCATGAGCTGGTCAGAAAACCAAAAAAAACAACACAAACATCAACCAAGGGCTCAATCCACTTTGTACAGGCTAGTCTAACACATTCATTAGTTCACAAATTCTCCAATTCCTGACTTGCACGCCTATAAGCAAAACAGTTTCCCAGCCGACAGTGAGAGTGCTCACCCCTGCTCCCCTGTCAATGTGCAGCTGTTCCGTGTGCCACATCGGGAAGTGTGGAAGCCTCAACGGTCCACCTGCTGTTGGATCCGCATCAAAAGCTTTTTGGGTAAGCTGATGTATCTATACCTTCCAGCTTGGAAGTTCGATCTGTAGCATTTCCGTATGTCAGCGGATTCTAAAGAAACTGCCAGACAGCTCCTTCGCAAAGAGGCAGGCAATGACGGGGTGCAGCAGGCAGCAAGCACCAGGTCACAACAGCTGCAGAAAGGCCCTTTTGTCTCTTTCTGCCCACAGAGTCCTGCCTTGGTCTGAGCACAAGCTGTGCTAGGGAAAAACCTGAGCAGGAGCTGAGTCCGTACCCGACAAGCCTAGTGCTACATCAACAAGGTTTCAGGCACCATTGTAAAGCCGCTTATTTTGGCATGTATGCATCTGTCAGAAACGTAACAAAAATAAAACAATGTATTTCAATCACAACCAGTGTACAAACACGAAAAAATAAAAAGTAAAATGGTAGCTTTGGCTAAGGCTACTAGCTTACGTACTTTTTGTAATAACAGCAATAAAGTAGGCAGAACAGGGAGAATTTCTGCAACTCATCTGTATCCATTTGATAGCTTTTTACTAATGCACACTGCTTTTGCTTGTATGAACGCTTTCACAAGCCATTTCCTTTTTCAGCAGGGAACAGATCACACACAAGACACTGTCACTAAGAAGCGACTCTTGAATTTGTAATGCGAAGAGCTATGCTTGCCATGGATCTCATGGCACAGGTAGAAACCTTGTGACAAATTCCAGCTTGTGAAACGTAGTTGGAAGCTAACCAATACAGCCTTTCTGCCCCAAATATGTTGAAGTGCCCAGGCAGTACCTTCTCCACGAGACCTCTGTCCACCAAGTCCATGAGGCGCCGGCAGCTTGCGACATAGTCACCTACTCTGCTGTAGGGAAGCCAGTCAATCATGGACCCATCATATACCACATCTCCGCTGAACAAAATCTTCCTGTCTTTGTCATGTAAGCAAATGCTGCCCCTCGAATGGCCCGGCATGTGCATGACAGTAAGCTGTCGGTCTCCGAGGCTGATCACATCCCCTGCAAACGAACGTGTTACAGGAAAACATTTATCATGTATATTACACACCATAAAGAGTACGGCCCACCCACCTGCTGAGCATTCATAAGTACTATATACCCACAACAGTGGAAGAGAGATGTCTATTTTCTTGGTGAGTGCCAGAGGCATCTGAAAGCCACACTTGACAAAACAGTATTTTCTAATGGTAGTAATAGTTAACACAGGCTTGGGCTATATTAATTGAATGTTTTCACCCCAATAAACTAAACAATGTGTAAAGAAATGTGACAGAGGAAAATAAAGCAGGAAACAATCAGAACACATTTAAGCTGTGTCTCCTTTGAAAGTTTACCAAGCATTTCACAATTTATTATCATTGCACCTTCACTTACCTTGCCTAGAATTGCACTGCTGTGTCCTGGTTTGAGCTGAAAACCCCAATTCTGTTCAGTGATTTTTACTTTCCAGTTTAGTCTCTTCTAAAGGGCTGCGCTTCCTAAAGTTAGCAGCATGTTTCTGCAGACAGTGTGTGCTCCGCAACATCAGTGGGGATTGATACCGGGTTTGATATTGGGCTTATATATAGTTGTGTATAGTTTTTTATTTTTCATCATTTCACTGTTATTTCCATTATTGTTTCATTAAAGCTTTTCTAGTTTGTCTTTCCTAACCCGTAAGTCTCTCTGCCTGATTCCTTTTTCCTTCTTGTTTGTGGGGAGAGGGGGTTAGAGAGTCCGCATTTGGTTGCCGGCCCAGCCCTAACCTACAACAGCCGCTACTTTCAAACAGCAAAAAGACAGACCGTAAATTGCTGGAGGAGACCCAGGGCTGGCCTGCATGTACTTTCTTCATCTCATTCAATCAGATATATAAAACCAGGACTTTTTAAACATTTGGTGATTTTTTTTGCCAGATTACATGCGAATGCGTTTTCATTGTACTAGCCACTGAACTGGTACTGTCAGCAGAAAATCAGGTCTAGGGATGCAGAACCCCATAAGCCAAGGAAGTCTGCTGGTGACTTTAAGCTGTTACACCAGCTTAATTGCATACATACAAACTCCATTAATTTACAGGTGGTAAACATGTAAACTTTAGGGCTGTGTAAGGAAAGAAGACCAACATATAAGCAGCCTTCTCAGAAGCAGCTGTTTAACAACTACATGAAACAGTTGTAAAAGAAATAACATCCAGGACCATCGTAAAACGATGCTTAAAACTGTGATGTGCATTTCAAGTTCCAAGGAGATCAAGACAATGTTACCAAACCTCCACTATATTATAAATCTGAAAGTTATAGATCTATCTAACACCAGAGATAGGCATGCCACAAATTTACGCTAGGCTCAGCAAGCCTAAAGGTACTCAGGTAGTGAAAAGCAGGACCTTTTGTGGCAGGACCTTTAGTATTCAACTGAAAAGGACTACAGAAAATGGTAGAATAGCGTTTGGAAGTCACCAAAGACCTCATGTCTGGCCGTGGTGCTCCCAACAGGGGCATGGATTTCTATGTCTGCAGAAGCAGGGAGTTTCAAAACAATAAAAAATAATTTTTAGTCAAATTCTCTTTCAGGGAAGTGTTGGGAAGCCTTGGCAGAAGAAATAGACTTGACTGTTGAGAAGACTGTGCAGAAAATGACTGTACTGGCGAATGAAACTGCAGTGGAGATGGTGAAGTTAATGGAGGCTACTGTTCCAGAGGGTTTCAAACTGCTCCTGGCATGTTAAAGAACAAAAAAGAAATAGACTGTGGTATCCAAAATGTAAAGAAGTGTACAGATTTTTTTTTTAAAAAAAAGTATTAAATTCTAAAACTGAAGGGACAGCTGAAAGAATCTGGGAGTCTGTGAACACAGAAGTGACTAGGAAACAGTACGTGGTAAGGCACAACTAAATGTTACAACAACCAACTTTAAGCTAGGACAACCAAAACAAAAGGCACTTGAAACATCTGGTAAGATTAAGATAATTCAAAAACTTAAGAAATGAAGCAGGCAATACGCAAGTAAGAACTGTGGCTTTAGACTGAAACAGAAAATTGCTGAAGGCACATTCTGTATTTTCAGCATAACTGGATATCCTCACCCCACAGCAATCACACAAGCACTGACATGACATGCCACTTCCACGCCGTATGTCTCAGCGAACGGTATCTTAGAAACTTTGATATTTTGACAACGGATGTTTGTTCTTTTACAAGATTTTATTTTTAATAATTCCCTCCTTTTAAAGAAAAAAACCTCCACAATTGAAAACTGCTGCTGATTGACTATAGTTAAACACCACATCAGACCTTAAGCCTTCACCATGCTCAGCCATGTGGGATGGGCTAATACAGCCAAGAAGAGACTATGTCCCCAGCAAAAGGTGTCACCTGTCTGTCAGACACCTACCCTGCAACTTCTGCTTCAGCATATTGCATGGTTAGGTTGTTTATTGCCAAAATAACCTAGTCACTGTTACCTGTGAGAGATTAAATGGTACTTTTTTATCTGTAACAAGCCATTTCTGTGAGTATATTTATGTAATATTCAGTAAAACAAAATCCATATTCTTCGTGGGACAGATTCCAGTAAATTGCTTTGTTCTTTACGCTGCTATGCCTTGACAGCTTATAAATAACAAGGTTCACCAGATGCCAGAACTGACTGCAACGCTGACGTGCTGTTAGAAGCCGAAGGCTAAACCTGGGGTGCTCAGTTAGTCACTCGAATTGCTGCTGAGTGATTCTTATTCTAAGTGGAAAAATCCTGCACCAACAGGCAAACAGATGAGGCAACCACAGGGTATTTTATGCCTGTCTCTCTGTTCCCGCCCATGCTTTTCAGAACTGGTAGAATCAAAGATTTAACCCGCTACATTTAACCCGCTAGGAAAAGGAGAAACGGCTTTAAAACTGGAAGGGGGTTGATTTAGATGAGATATGAGGAAGAAATTATTTTTCCGTGAAGGTGGAGAAACAGTGGAACAGGCTGCTGAGGGAAACTATGGGTGTCCCATCCCTGGCAGGGTCCAAGGCCGGGCTGGATGGGGCTTTGACCAACCTGGTCCGGTGGGAGATGTCCCAAAGCCCGAGGGGTCGGAATTAGACGATCTTTAAGATCCGTTCCAACCCAAACCACTCCATGATCCCGTCATACGCATTTTTGTGCCACACAGGGGGCTGCAGAGGGCTTGTCGATTCTGAAAAGCGCCCGCAGAGGCCTAATCTAAGTCAAAAAAATACCAGTTTAGCTCCTGAAGCCGCACAGAGCCGTGCGCCAACCAGAGCGACGTCACGCCCGGATTCAAAATTCAACACTACGCCGGGTTTGTTTGTTGTGTTTTTTTTAAATATGCCTCCATCTCAGCTCCCCCCGACAGGTCAGAAGCCGCCCTTACCCTCCTGCAGCACGCGGCTGGGCCGCACCGGGGGGACGCGGAAATTCCGCGCCCGCCACCCG